CTGTTCACATGGATGTGTGCTTATCTGAGAAGTCTGAGAGGCGGGAACTGACGACAGGCATGACAACTGGGGATGTCGACCACATCTGCAATTCTACTGATGTAAGAGCTGAGACTGTTGTACAGAAAGAGACGGAAGTGATGTCGAACATCATTCTTCCAATGAATACTGGAATAGCTGTGATGGTAACTTCAATGCTGGAAGGGGAGATCGGTGCAGTTGATAAAGATGGCTGTGCTGTGCGTTCGCGCAGTGGGACTGTAGTGGAAATGTCAGAGGCACGTTTCCGGGATGAACGACCGGACATCGACACAGGTGCGAGGGCCGAAAGAGCCCTGGTGGATAGCAGTCCATTGCCTGCTGGAGTACGTCTTCTTAAGCATGATCCTGCTGCCCTTCATTCTTCGTCGGATGTTTGTAAATGTGATGCTTTCTCTGTAGGTGTTTATCTAGCAGGAGCGAGCGATGAGCATCTTGGGAATGAGGTGCCGAGGCTCGCTGGAGGGAACGAGGGTTGGGGTGTTGCGAGCAAGCGTAGGGAGAACAATCAGGTTGAAGCAAATGCTGGTGATGAGGCTGTCAAAGCACCGGAGATCGTGCATGCAGCCATGCCCGTGAATGCTGAGTCTGGGTTTGAAGGAGATGAACGCTTCGTCAAGTGTGTTTCAGGTGCCGACACAGTTGGCGTAGTGCAAAACCAGGAACCTATGGCTGACAATCCAGGTGAATCGGCAGAGTTGATTGCGGAGGGTTCATCAAGTAGAGGTTTAAAACTTGCTACAGGCAGGTCTGAGTCAAACAGGGTAGGCAAAGCTGTAGGTTCCGGCAATTCCACGGAACCTTATTTGGAGCGGGAAGAAGAAGGCAAACTGCGAGTCTTTAATAACAATGCGGACAAGGATTGTAATGAGGCACAGGAGTTGTCATCAGGAAGAGCTGAGAGGGGAAATTGCTGCAACCATAACATGAAGAGGAAGACAGATCATCTGGATGACCTCACAGAAAAGAAAATGGACCCCAGCTTGGACGGCAACGCGGGCATCATGGAGGTAAGCAGCACGGCCAGCGAGTGTGCCAAGCTTGTCGATTCACGTTCTCAATGCGAGGTTGTGGATGTGTTGAAAGCTGACCCTAACAGGCATCCTAACAAACACGAGAATGATGATCTGATGTCATCACTGTATAAGTGTTTGTTGCCGAAGGATATCCCCTTGTCGAAGTGTGCAGGGGATCATAAGAAGAGTGGTGATGACAATCTTGATGCGAAAGAAGTGGTGGATGCAGACATCAACAATTTGGAGGATTGGCAACCTGGCATTAATGTCCAAGCTGTTGATTGCTGTCCTGAGGGGGGCGGGGAGAGCAACCCCAACGACGATGACACTGGGAGGACGAACTGCAGAGATCAGAAGCGAACAGCTGAATGCTGTGAAGAGTTGGAAAATATGGGTGCCAGTGGTGGCTATTACGTGAATGGGTTTAGCCAAATCGTTGACATGAATAACGAGTCGCAAGCTACATTCTGTGAGCAGGAGGGTGATGATGAACGCGTCTCCAATGCGGACGACAGTGCAATGGTTGCAAAGCAGTTTGACACCGTGAACTGCTATGTAGATGGATTGGATGGTAAAGAATTTGTGGACTCTGTAGTCAACAAGGGTAACATGCGCCCCCCAAAATTTGATGCCAATTTGCTATTGGGGGATGGTGTTCCCAGAGAAGTGAACATGGACTGCATTACTGAGAATGATCGTCCTTGCCTGGGGGTTGAGAAACACCCTCTGCACAGGATCTCCATGCACATGGAGGCACAACAGGCAGAGGTGGTGGCAAAGGAAACACACAAAGATGAACCCATGAATGACCCACACCCTGTCCCTGATGTGCAGCGCTATGTGGCGGGGCGTCACCCTACGGAAACCAGCAACACTCAGGCTGAACTGGATAGCAAGGCAGACAGTTTGACAATTGCGACCAACGAACACTGTCGAGGTGGTTTCACTGATGTTAGAGGGGCGGTTTTGGGTCGAGACAATGAACAGGGTCGTCATGGCTTGTGGGTTGAGGAAGACCTGATGTGCAAGGTACCAGGGAACGAGGACAGGCAGGATTTGTTGTTGTTGGACATGAAGGGGGAAGAGGGGAAGGAGGAGGAGGGGGAGAAGGCGGAGGAGCGGGAGGAGGGACTGGAGGGGCAGGAGGTGGAAGAGGAGAAGGAGGAGGGGGAGGAGGAGGAGGAGGAGCACGAGGAGGAGGAGGAGGAGGCAGGGAAGGATGGACATGTTGGTTATTATGTTGTAGGACCTCATTGTATAGGAGCTGTAGGGGAGAAGATGGAAGAGGAGGAGAAGGCGGAGGGGGTGGAGGAAGAGGAGGAGCAGCAGCAGGAGGAGGAAGAGGAGGAGGAGGAGGAGGAGGAGGAGGAGGAGGAGGCAGGGAAGGATGGGCATGTTGGTTATTATGTTGTAGGACCTCATTGTACAGGGGCTGTAGACACTAAGGTTGAAAACTACACCAATGCAGGGGGACGTTGTTGTGAAGCCGAGGCACACGGCAGAGAAAACTCTTCGGCTCCAGGAGGCCAAATTGGAGGGCGAGATGAGGAAAACCTGGTGCACAAGGTCACAGTGAACAAGGATATTGAGGAGGAGGAAGTTGCAAACAAGCACAGTAACATTGACACGATAGATTGCGTTCATAATGGACCCTGTCATATGATTGCACCTGACCATGTGGAAGCTGTACACAAGGAGACCGCAACCCATTGCGGGGTTGGCGGCTTATGTTTCGAGCGTGACGAGTGTCGAAATTGCTGTTCTGCTGATGATGACCGAGAGGCGACTACAGGGCTGCGCAGTGAGCATGATCATGTTCAGATGGCATGTGAGAAAGGCGCACTGCCATACATGGTCGAAATGAAGGACCATATTCAGCAACAACAACGGAAAGAGGAAAAGGATGGTGAATGTATGACTAACATAGGCTGCACTTATGACTTGCAACTAATATCGACAATCAATCATGGCAAGCTCGAACCCGATCCTCCAGCTTATTGTCAACGGGCTGAGGATTATTGCAACAACGACAATGTTCAATGGAAGGGTCGTAATTCGGGGGACGAAGATGAAATGGCGTGTGGAGTGGAGGCTACTGCCCCTGTCATCTGTGGCCCTGTGTCATTGAAGGGCGGTGATGACGTCAACCATGTTGACTATGAAGCTTGTGAACGATCAGATGAGATGGAGGGCATCTTCGGTGTCCGTCAGAAGCGTCTTCTTGAGAGTGGCGATCTTGATGATCAACGATGCTTGCATTGCTTTGAAACGATTCAAGAAGACGTTTACGATCTCAACCAAAATCCTGTGCTGCTCTCAAATGAAAACAAGGAAATTTTCAATCTTGAGAGAGCACACGATCGTGGTCTGTACGTTGCAGCTTCAGAGCATATGCCTATTGACACAGAGGGACACAATGAAGCTCAGTTGAGGGAGCAATGGCCACAAGGCCCAATCAAGGATGATATTTACGATCTTAACCGAAGTCCTGTCCTGGGATCAATGGAACGAGAATGTAATGAGTGCGATCTTGACGATCAGCAGAGAGCATACAAGGTTACCCAGCAGGAAATGCGAGGTAGGAAAAATGTCGGACTGGATACGAATGCCTGTGAACGTCATGCTGGTGGCATGGGGGATTCATCGCACGAGTTTTCAGGAATGGGGGTTGGAAGTAACGTTAAGGCAATGGAAGAGGAGGAGGGGATGGGGGCCAATAATTTCCATGCCCACAAACATGCTTGTGGAAGCTCTAGACAAGAGAGGTGCAGTGCAACTCATCAGCAAGGTTCTGTACTGGAGGAAACAAAGGGCGGTGATGAGAGGAAGAAGACTATTGCACAAGATGAGGTGGCAGTTGATGTACTAGCCTGTGGAGAGGGAGGTCACTCTGAGCGCAGTATGCTGCCAACGGAGGACACGGAAGTGCAGATTGATGATTTCCATGCCAATCAACATGCTTGTGGAAGCTCTAGACAAGAAAGGTGCAAGGCAAGCGATCAGCAAGGTTCTATACCGGAGGAAGGAAAGGGTGGTGATGAGATGAAGAACAGTATTGCACAAGATGAGGTGGTAGTTGATGAGCTAGCCTCTGGAGAGGGAGATCGCTCTGAGCACAGTATGGCGCCAATGGATGACATAAAAGTGCAGATTGATGAAAGTTGTGTGCAGGAGCTCAGGGGAGAAGAGGTGAGCAAAGATCTGCACAGTTCAGCAGCGGCAGCAGGAGGAATTGGGGGATGGGAATGTGGAGAAAATGAAGGCCCCGATGTAGATGATGATGAGGTGCGGGCAAAAGGTTTTGACCAAATATCTGAAGGAGATAGTCTTTTTGTGAGAAAGGAGGGAAAGGGTGTTGACGGTAATGAGACTTGCTCTCTCTCGGGATGGAGTGAGATGGAAGACGACGACGAGGGACCCAGCAATGTCGCCGGGGGTAAGGACGGTTCTGCTGCCACTGAAGCGTGGAGTAGTGATAGCAATCACAACATATGGTCTGCAGAGACTGCAGCATGGAACGGTACTGGAAGTGAAAGTTGTTCGTCTCTGGAAGGAGAAGATGGGGAAGAAGAGGAGGAAGAGGAAGTGACGGTGGAGCAGGATCTTGAAGAAGTGACAGGTGGAAAGCGAACTGGAAAGTTAACCGGAAGGAGAGTCAGTGGAAGCAGCCAGAGTGATGGAAAGAGAACTGGATGCGGCCTTGGCTGGGCTGTTGCAGGTGATGGCTCTCTCGAGGTGATGCGCGAAAGGTTTGCATGTGGTTCTAGTCGGGCTAGAGTCGCCAACGAGGACTGCACTCCGGTTCCACCCATCGGGAATATGATGGATAGCGTGCAGCACAACTATGTTTTTGGGGATGCAGTGGAGAGAAACGCTCATAGCATGGCAATGCAGTCATCATTGACGATGGGCGGGATTGCAGATCGCCACGACGGCGAAATGGACCCAAGACCCACTTGTGCTGAGAACTCTGTTGACACGGAGGATTGGGTGCATGGTGAAGACAGCGATTCCGTAACTGAAGACTCATGCGGACAACAGTCATTTTATGACTGGGGAGGTGGTGGACGACAAGCGAAGGCGGATGTTGCGGAGGGGTATGTTTGGGACTTGAATGAAATGAAGGACCATGGATGTGAGCCAGAAGACAGGCTTGGAAAGGGGTATCAGAGTGCAGGGCAGTGGGAGTCTTGTGAGGGATCGGCGAAAGATGTGATGCGGTCGCCGTACGAGGTTGGTGAAGATCGACTGAGCATGCATCATAAGGTGCTGGTCTATGCCAAGCACGGGCCGAAAAGGGTGCGAGGGTTGCGGGAAGGGCTGGATCTTAAACATGTACAAGATGCAGGAGGAGAAACTACCAAGGTGGAGGACGGTCTGACCGAGGAGTTGTCGGAGCGGATGGAAGGTGGGCTCTACCAGCAGCAGCAGCAGCTTTTGGACACTTCAAAGGGCGCTCTGAAGCGAAAGAATGCCCTTGCAGAGGACGACACGGTGCGCTCGGAGAGTGTCATCTTCGACCCTTCAAGCAGCAAAAGGCACCAAGAGGATCGGGTAAGTTTATCAAGACCACCGAAGAAGAGGAGGTTGGGTGCAGAATTCGACTTAGTATGGACCGGCGGTCAAGATTCAAATGATGGGCAGAGTGATCGATTGACAGTAGCAGCACAAGCCAGTTCACAGATACCAAGAAAGGAGCCCAATAGTTGCAGCAGATTGGACTCCGCAGATAAGGTAGCCGGGCACTGCGGGCAGCAGGCTACGAACAGCACTCGACACCCTTCATGTTTGGAGCATTGTGGAGATCGGTCTGATGAAACAGCTGCTGCTGCTGCTGCTTTAAAACTTGATGAAGCCCAACCAGTGGGGTTCAGTTATTCACCCAAGCAAGCAGTACCAGGGGGAGGGAAAACCCATGGCTATGATGGCTTGTTAAAAGCAGGAATAGAAGAGCCGCTGTTTATAGGAGAGAACTCCACGAATCCCAATGGCCGCTCGACCCTGGTGGGTGGAGAGGGAGAGGAAATATACCGAATGAGCAATGTCAATGACAGCGTGGACCGCTTGAGGTTTGTGGAAGAGAGATGCACTGTGGAGACACAGGGCAAGGAGGGAGGCAGCAGACCGGGCATAAGACATGGCAATCTGATTCAAAGAGAAGTCGTTGGCAACGTTTCTCTCTTTCATGGCATGTGTTATCTCGAGCATGAGGCCCCGTGTTCTTCGGTCCGTTCAGAGGAGGCAGCAGCGACTGATAGTGCGACAGGATCGATCATCATGTGCACATCAGGGTTTCCTGATCAGGAAACTGTACAGCTGCGACGTGACCCCAGAGGTACTTCAAAGAACAGAATACGTGCGCTTGACGAATTTGACAACGCACGAGAAGACAATGACGATCCACCAAGAGACAGTGGCAGCCAATCTGTTCAGAGTCAAAGTCCAACTCAAACACATTCACGCTTGACCATTGGAGGAACGGATTGTGCTACGAGAACCTGGACCTTTGATCCTAACTTGGTTGTTTTGGCCAGGTCGACTGTTGGCAATCAACAGGCAGTGGTTCGCGATGGGAGTGCGAGCACCGAGCGCATCACATTTTTAAGTGGAGACAAGGGGCAACTCCGACGTGATGAGGACAGAGGTAGGGGGCAGGCAGTAGAGCTGGGCAGGAGCATGCCGGTTGCACCAGGCGGAGATGGGCAGGACTGTGCAACGAGAACCTGGAATGTGAATTATAACTTTGTCCTCTCGGGCAGGTCAAAGGTTGGCAATGGACGGGAAGCGGTTCTGGATGCCAGTGCGAGCAGAGAGCGCATCACTTTTGTAAGTGGAGACGAGGGGCAACACAGATGTGATGAGGACAGAGGGAGGGGTCAGGCAGTGGAGATTATGGGCAGGAGCATGACGGTCCCGTCAGGGCGACAGGGCTTGGAGCTTCCATTGCCAATGGGAAGTCCGGCACGTGTGAAGGACGCATCTGTGTTGGGTATCGAGCTTGCCATGTCACCTAGGTTTAGGTACAAGAAGGAGAGGAAACAGGAATGGCAGGAAGCTCTAGCTGCTTGTGCTCCCCCTGTGAGTGGAGACTGTAGCAGACCTGATGTGGTGGAAGCGTCGAGCAATTATGACTGGGGACGGTGGGGGAAATGGCTGCAAATGACTGAGGAGGAGTTCTTTAGAGTCGGCTCAGATGAGAACCAGCCGAACATTACGAGGACGGATGGCGAAGGTGGTAATGCGCATGACACCACCGGGCAAGAGGAACTCCATTTGTCAGATTTGTGCGTGTCTTCTGATTGGTCGGTTTCGCTTTTTGACGATGCTGAGGGGGGAGGAGGTGGAGTCACCTCTGCAGCGACTTATGTGACCGCAGATGTCATCGAGGAAGCCAACACGGGAGAGGCCGCTCTACTTTCGCAGACTGAACAGGGCATTGATGCCATGGCATGCAGAAGTCGTGAAGAGACGACACCTTCTTGCGAACGCTCTGAAGAGCATGCTCCCATGCCTTCATGTGGACCTTCTGATAACTGTGTTCCCATCCCCCCGTGCACCTGCACATCATCCCATCCAGGTGTGAATTTGAGAGTGAGCCTTCATGGGCAAGAGATGGTGTCCTATGCCAATACATCGACTGAGCAGCGCACAGATTCCGAGCCTGCACCTTTGGGCATGCCTTGTGACCAAGTCTCTCAGTGTGTGCTTGGCAGAGAAATCGAAAATGGGATGCGTGGAGAACTAACGGGTGCTGCGGTCACTGACGTGGAACGCTGTCTGGTCTCACGCCAACCACAACCTTTGAATCAGGGACGAGCCGCCAGTTGTGAAGCTTTGGATGAGGGGGCTGATAAGGGGCCTGGTGTTGCAGGGGGGGGGTATGGGACGCTGCTGTCAGAGGTGGCGAGCGGATTTGGACCAGGGGCGGAATGTTACTTCTTCACTCAGATCCAACGTTCAAGTCTGGAGAGAGAGCAAGCGGCGTCTATGATGGACAGCGATGGTGGCGTTGCACAGCCAACTTATGATATCCTGGCACAAAATCAGCAGCAGATATCCAGGCGAAACCTAACCGATCTTAACATCGAGGCGAAACCATTGATCGATCTCAACGTTACGACGAGGCCGGAAATGGACTTGAACCAGATATCCAAAGAAGCAGCGCAATTCGCTGAAACGGCACAGACGGATAAGGAGAAGCAAGTTCTGGAATCTCCTCTCCGGTCAGCTTCAGTACGCAAGGAGGCTCTTCCGCAATTGACTTCTCCGCGGGTGTTAGTTGTGCGATTGGAGAAGGACAAAAAGATGCCTGTGAATTCCAGAAGGGTGCAAACTAATGCAGACAGCAAGACTTCCCCACCCCCACGCCATCAAGGCGAGTCTGCGGAAATTCCAGTGGATGGGAAGAAGCTTGTGCACCAGCGTGTTTCCAAGGCTCGATCTCCCATCCACTGTTCGAGATCAAGAAAGACGTCAGATGTTGTCAAAGAAGGGTTCCGATGGTGTGCTCCACAGGAAAACACCAAGGACGGTGGGACTCGACGATACGATCAGTCGGATGGCTCACCCCTCTGCGTCCCAATTGCCGCAATCGGGACCGATCAGTATCATGTTGCGACAAAAATAGATCGTCAATGTGACTGGGTGGGGAGTAGGGGGCAATGGCCTGCGAGGGTGGGAGTCGGCTCCGGGAATTCAGTATGGGCTCATGCCGATGGAGGGCGGAAGATGACTGCTGTTGGGCAGCCACAGTTTGTGCGAAGCCTCAGCCCGATACCTCCGGAAGCTGCAGCTTTTACTCACCACCCAGCAATGGCGGTGCCCGCGCCACCATCCAGTAGCCTTGCCTGGCTGCCTTATGTCAGTTGGATGAATGGGCTGGAACAGTCAGACGTATGTGTGCGTAGGAGAGAGGCTCCACAGCAGATCTTACCTCGCAGAGAGATGAGCGCAAGCAGATTGTACTGTCAAGGCCTTTCCCTACCACCTGGCAAACCCCAGGCCCAGGTCATGGGTGACTTCCATTCGTCACGTCAGGATCGAGCATTCCCAGGGCATGGCCATATAGGAAAGAATGGCAGCGTTTGCGGTGTAGGGCAAGGGAAGGACTGTAGCCCTGGCAGGAGGAGCCCGTGTTTGCTAACGAGTCAAATGGGTTCGAATGCAAGGAGCACAAACTGGAATAGCGAGCGGATGAGATCGGATCATCGTGAGGAGCGAGGGGGTGTACAGCAACAGAGGTACATGGATGGACACGCATTGCACGCCAGTGGCGAAGTAACGGCAGACTCCGTAGGCAAACCGTGGAGTGAGAGAGGGTGGGAAGATGTCCACAATGGACGTGGAGGAAGGCCGTGGCGGGAGCGCTCGGCGAGTCCTATGCTCTCTGGTAGTCCTTTGGACAGTTCTGGACATGCACCGAGAGAGTTCTTGGGGGCAGGTGAAAGGGGACTTTGTCGAACGCGACAAACAGAGAGGAGAAGCAGCGGGGCAAACCGACCGAAACAGAGGCGCGGAAGCACACAAAGGGCAGTCAATTAGTAGGAAATAGGATGTCAGCATGCGGCAGACGACAGTAGTAAACTGGACAGAGCACTTGGCTTTCTTGACTCTCAAGTGTACACCAGTTGCATTTAGCAATGCCTGAGACAGTTGGCGAGTGGCAGCGATTTATAGGTGAAAGTGAACATGAACAACTTTTGTAAAGAGATTCAGAATGAGTTATTGTTGGCAGAGCTACATTATGTAGATCGATAGATGGAAAGATGAATAGCACATAGGTGGATGGACGGGTTGGATTCAGTAGAGACACACACACACACACACACACACACACACAGAGAG